AAAAAAAAACAACTTAATCTTTTAAATTTTTATATTAAGTTTATGCGAAACTTTCAGAAATGCAATATGTGAAACTTGAGCTGCAAAAAGCAAAAAACAATTTACATTATCTCTACATCATCTCCATGTTTTAGCCTGAATTTACACCATTCCACAGTTACATATCCGAATTAAAATAATCCGTGAGTTTACATCGAAGTTACATCTCAGAGTTTACACAATCTCTGAGCTTATTACACCATTTCAAAGTTTACATCATCTCTAAGGTGCACCTTTAAGTTAATATAACCTTTGAATTTCATAAAAGGAAAAAAATGAAATAAAAAAATATCATATTAATAAAAATCAAGTATTTGTTAAAATTAATGAAAAATTTCCAATAGTATTTTATATATTTCTTTTAAAAACTATTTTAATAAAAAAATGCAAAGCAAACGGCAAATGTAATTTTTTTACTGTTTTAAACAAGCTTTTTTCTTTAGAGAAATTTGATCATTTTCAAGATTTTTTGTCGTCTGAACTACAATTTCACGCTTATATTTAGTAACAACAAAACCCATGAAGTAATTTTCAGGAAATTTTATTTTGTTACATTATGAAATTCTACTTTTTTTTAAAGATAAAGTGAATTAAAAAGATCTTAATTGCTTTCGGTAAATGTAAATCTTCTCTTAATATTTAATAACTTAAGCAACCTCTGTACACTCGGTTTAAAATTTTTTTGCATCAAACTGTTCCTTAGTATTGTTTCCAGAAATGTGTGCTATAAGCATTAGGTACTGTTAATATTACTACGAAATGACAGAATAATGGGCATATAAGCATCTTTTCAAAAACCGTAACTCTCAAAAAAACGCTTCATCAAATTTGAACAATTGACGCTACGTTTCTGTATTTAATTAACTTATTAACAGAGAATTAACATTATTAACATTATTATTAGATTATTAACAGAGAGAGAGATTATTAACAGAGAATTAACAGATTAACTTAGCTCAATTTTAATACGCCATTTTGCTGATAAAGATTAGATGGCGCTAACGTCATAGGTCACGTGTGTGGGTATGGGAGGTCTTCTTCTTCTTCTTGAAGTGCGAGTACTCAATTGCAATTGTACCTTAGGACGAATAAAGTACCTAATAAAAAGGATAAGAGCACTTCTCTTTTAAAAAATGAAACTTTATATGAAATGGATGAAGTAGAAATAATGTGTAAATAGCTTTCACCCTCAACAACAGTAACTTAATTGCCTCAAAAGCAATCACTCAATTACCCTATGAATTTCATTGCATATACGACTAGATAAAGAAGCCTTTATTTTATTTTTTTCTGAAATGATTTGTGTTTTATAGTCAGTAAATAAAATTTATTTTCAAAATTCTGTTTATTTTTCATTTTGTACCAAGGTACAATACCCTGTATTCCAAGGTACAACACGGAATATTTTGCAAGTGTGTAAAAAAATTATTTCTCCCTAATAAAATGACATATTTTTAATTTCAAAATGTTTATAGATTCTTTAAATAGTAAACAATAAGATTTTACACACTTTTCTATTATAATCTTTATTGAAGTAAAAATAAAAATATTTGTTTTCAAACTGTTCCGAAGGTCCCTACTTTATTGTTCATTTTACCAAAATCATAGCCAAAGCACTTCGGTAAGAATTGCCAACTTTTTTGAAGTTCCCATAGAAACAGAGACATGGTAAATGCTACCATAATATGGTAGATTTAAAGATAATTCTTCCCCGAACAGAAATGAAATAATAATAATAATGAAGACCAATGGAAAGAGCGATTTATGTACATTTTTCGGAACGATTGAATAGCTATCTGTTCCAATTTGACGATTGCTAGGTTTTGACCAATGAATAACGTGGAAAATCAGTCCTATCCGTGAGTTATTACGTAGTGAAGATGAGTCACGCAGGGTAAGAACGATCTCTGTACGCGCGAAGACAACGAAGATGAGGAGGGTGAAGTAAGCGATGTAAACACTAGTATGGAAGTATTTATTGTTAAAGAGTTTTGAGAGAAAAAAGAGAAGAAGAAAAATTCTTGTCACGCCCGATTTTCAAATTTTATTTTTTTCCAACATCAAATATGTGAATAAATACGCGCGGCATTTTTGATATCACCCGTATTTATTCATATTCATTCATGCTTATATTTTTATAATTTCAATCGAATTCTTGCTCCTAAAACGTCTCAAAACCCAAGAATTGTTTTTTTTTTCTCAGCATTAGCTTTTTTGGACATAAGCCGTCCCCCCCCCCATGAACTTCAAATAAGTTTTCCCTTTTTTTAAACTGCATGCCAATCATTTGACGTCTTCTTGATAAAAGTCAAAATGGATCCTAAAATTCAGAGCAAAAAGTGCGAAAACACAATTACACCTTTTAGAGCCATTCAACAGATATTAAGGAACGTTTAATTTGTAACAATACGTTTCCCACTGGGCCATGCCCAAGAGGTCATAGGTTCGATCCCTGCCGGCTTTAAGACTCCCCGTGGAGTAAATGGCGACTGATGCACGTTAAATCTGTGGAGTCACATAGTCCACCGTGTTCCCATAACAAATCATATTTCTGGGGGTACTGATCCATGAGATTCCTTGTCTTCTGGATTGGTTCAAAATGACAAGGCTACGGAGTTAAACATTAGTAGTCGTAAACACAAAAATCGCCTTTTTTTTATATACATAGTTACACTTTTAGTTTCACACACGTTACAATCAAACATTTATTTAAATCCTTTCATTTTTAATTTTAATTTACCCTTAATTTCATAACAGTTTTAGTTTATTCTATGCGAAAGTTCCAGGCGGTTTGTCCTTAAGTAAATGAATTTTCTTAATCTAAACGTAAATTCACTCAATATTATTTTCTCGACTTGCAAAATTTAATTTCTCTTTTGGGTTTCAACTTTTTATTAATCTCATCTTTGAATTCAGAGGTCATGGCCTGATATTAAATTTCCGGTGGGTAAAAAAAGTATTCTTTTCAAACCAAATGGTACGTCATAGACAGTATTGCTTTTATTGCTTTTTTCCCAAAACCGTATCTTTTCTTTATTTATTTTTGAAACTTTTGAACCTATCTCAATTAAATTAGGTACATTATGAATACGTTCGTATCCTTCGTATTTTCCCTTCGAGCTGTAAAGGGCATTTCCTTAAATTAAACAGTGGAAAGAAAAACCATTTTATCTTGTTTCTAGATCTTATCTTGTTTCTAGATAAGTGGAAATAGCTTTAGCCACAGTTCTGATAAGCACTCTTATATCTTGCATATATCTTGCAAAGGGACTCAACCACTGAGCCACTGAGGATATTTCACGTCAGCACTATGGTCAGTGCAAACAGGATGCGCAATTCGTATCGACCAGCCATCGATGGGATTCGAAACCGGTTAGCCTCGTTTGAAGACGAACCCTCTATCCCCTGAGCAATCACGGCTTCACAAAGCAATCGTGACACAACTCAAAATGCCACAATCTTGAGTTTTGTACAGCACAAATACTGTAATGTATAACCTTCCCATCCAGTCTTGCAGTCAGCCTCAGAGTGGCGGGGGGGNNNNGGGGGGGGGGGGGTTTCTTGGCGAAACGGGCGTGGGATGTGTATTCTCCTGGCAGGGTCACCCGAGGCTTGATGGCTGTTCCATTATGCTCAGATAATGACAGCAAGCGAATTTTGAGGATTAGTCAGTCTTCAGCCCTCGCGGTTTCTCAATCAAATGAAGCTGAATATTACCCTTTCGCCCTGGACCACCAGAATGGGGACCACCAGATTCCCACTAGTCCAACGCACCTTCTTAATTGTTTAGGCGTCTCCTGGAGGTAGCTGTTGGTTGAGCAGAAAAAGAATTTCGATGTTCTCAGGCGACGGGGTCTTTTGGACCTGGTGTAGGATTTCCTACACCAGGGAGATGAGTAGTGCTGTGAGCAAAGAACTTTTTTGTTCCACAATGAAATGAAGTTTGTCTACGGTAAGAACTCCCCTTGCCACAAAGTGTGACGCCATCTGATGCTATGGAAACAAGGATAGCGCATTTTAGAGAGGGTAGCTTCTCCTCACTCTAGGACCAACATAGTAGACCGAAGAAAAATATTTCCTTTCTCTCGCCGACACGGGCCAAAACCTGTCCTAAACAGTGACCCCACACCCCTACTTGAAATACCTTGTTACCATAGTTATCGTCAGGGGTCCAGACGAGCGCAAGAAGGGTTCTTACTTCAGACAAACTCTAGATATCCCACATCCCAAATTGAAAGAAATGTTATATTCCACAGGAATAAATTGAAAAATAAGGCTTTCATCATTCTAATTTTTCATAAATCTATCAATGTTTATCACCCCCTCTGCTGACCTTACGGGTGGACCTCACAACGTTCAAGCCTCAAGCCTGTAGCATCCACCATGTAAATGGGATCAACCACAAACTATTTGTAGCTAACAAAATTTGTGGTGGGGTTAAATTTCATTGTTATTATCAAATTTGTTTACTCACAGCCTAACAACTACAATAATAACAACATATATAACCTTACACGCATAAACATTTGCCATAAGTGGCTATGCAATATCGATAGATAAAATTAGATGACAGAAAATTGCCTATGTTATGTCTTTTTTAAATTTGGTACTTTATGAAATTCAAACAGCGATGTATAAATCTGAAAAGCAAAAAAGATTTTGACTTGTAATAATGTTGATACAAGTGACATGGCTCTGTAATTGTGATATATGTGCAAGAACGAGATGCATGTTTTGTGATTGTCACAAACAATCAGGTTAAAATAATTTTAATAAAACTGCGTGGTAATGACAACTAAATCTATGCGTTTAGCAAGAAACATAATTTTATTTTTCCGTAAATATTACTCTTGCGTTAAGTTATTAAATTTGATTTGATAAATTATATACGTATTTCTATTAAAGTTAAAACAATTTTAACATACTTGAGTTAACAAATTAAATCTGTATAAAATATACACTTTTTTAAATGCAAAAACATTTTATTGACATTTTGCAGGTTCAAAATAAATAGAACTTAAAAACTCTAAATATAAATGAATTTACAAATTTAAGCGTAAAACACAATCTGCCATATCCATGGCGAAAATTGATTACTGTCCACCACCAGCTCCAGCACCACCACTACCTTCAGCGCCTCCACTCATTCCTGCATCTGCACCCGCACCCATTCCACCTCCCATGCTGAATCCCAATCCAGCTGAAGCACCACCTCCAGCATTTGCTCCACCTTCACCACCGCCTTGAGCACCCCCTTTGCCTTCAGATTCACTTCCTTGTTGACCTTCAGGTGCGCCATGGCTCAGTAAAATAAGTGAAGCACACAAAAGTAGGATCTGAAAATATATTAAGCATTAAAACATTGCTATTGCTTTAAACTTTGATTTGCAGTAACGAGAACAAAATAGCTGACAAGCAACTTCTCAAATGTACAGTGTGCCAACTGAACCACACTGTGTGGACCACACTGAATAACTTTTGTTTAAATGATCTGATCTTCACGCTCTAGGAGCTAAACTTGATGGACTCAAGCGTTTTCCAACGGATTCGGATTTCTAACCCCATATTTTAGAGGTCAGAAATCCAAAGGATCCATTCTCTAAATCCAGTTTATTTAGAGAAAGTACGTTTATGTGTCTTATTGTGTTGAGCACTTTGAAAATATACACTACCGGTCAAAAGTTTGCGAAAATTTTGAAATCTACAAAGAAAAGGTCTAAATTCAAATGTTCACAGAACTGCGAAAAATCATTCAAATTGCATGAAAATTTGATATGTTCTAAAGTGAACCCTCTACAGTTTGTTGCATATGATCAAATTGCAATACTTTGTTTTTCTCGAACTGAATCTAGATTTTTATCATAGGTTGTTTTTATGGTGAAAAACTTTGTTAAGTTTGAACACTTGCCAAATTCGCAAAATTTTTTTTGTACTTTCTGTTAATGGAAAATAGTTATTTGAACTGCTTTATGCAAGCCCTCAAAATTTCAGATCGATTTGATTTTTTTTGACGAAGTTACAGAATTTTGAAAAATATGTGTACTTTTCTCGATTTTTGAGCATTCCACATATGC